AACAATAAATGATGGTAAATAAATACGGGAAAGAAACTTGGAGTTGTACCTCTTGAAGAGGAGTAACCCTTTGAATTATAAACCACCAATTTCACACGCTCAAGAGCTAAGATGCAAGCTCAAGAACCTCAACAAAGAGACCTCAAAAATTTGTATAAGAAGTCTAGGTAAGGTATGTATAGGTTGCAACGTACAGAGAGAGAAATATTTTCTAAGAATTTTCCTTCTCAAAAACATGTTAGGCCCTCAGAAATGTATATAGAGGGGGTAAAGTATATATAGAAAAACATGTTAGGCTCTCGGAAATATCCATACAGAAATAATAGGTGGTGCAGTGCATGCACCTCAACTATTATCTACTATAACTCTTTCACTACTCTCTAATGAAATTGACTCTCATTCTCTTCTTCGATAAACATGATATGAATCATTTCCAAGTGTAGTGATTGGAGAAAATGGTTTTAGAAAACGTATTTTGCACCGACCATTTGTCATGCATGCTGATCGTTCATTGTACATTCCACATGGGCCATGTATCATGTGTTTTAGAATTGCACTGTATAATGCAGGTTTCAATCTCTTGTCTGGAATTTTAGCTCTGACAATGTTATCATAATTGTCAGGAGTATGTAACTTGTCATTTTCATCTAATATAATAACCATGTGGACATGTGGTAGGCCTCTTTTTTTGGTACTCAATAACATATGCGTATGCTAGAACTTTTTGAGTACATGTTTTGTCAGAATATCAGTTTTCATCTTCTCAAATTTTGAATGAAATATTGTTGTCAACAAATCAGGGCGATCATGTGGTGATTGTCTAGGTAACAACTCAGCTTTAATTTTAGGCCAATTTGAATTGCAGGTTATTGTAAGGAAAAGATTAGGTTTTCCATACTTTTGGACCAAGGCCATTGCATCTTGATATCGTTGATAATGTTTCGTGGGCTACCAATAAATGATAAAGGTAATATTTTTCTACAACCAACATTACCTAAAAAATATTTTGATGTAATAGAAATGTTATATAAATATAAAAAATATGTACGCGTGTAGTTATACTACCATAAGTGATAAATTTTACCTCTATAATTTTCGCTAACATGTTGTAACAAGTCCGCGGGGGGACCTCGCTACAGTTCGGACTTGAAAAGATTAGGTTTTCCATACTTTTGGACCAAGGCCATTGCATCTTGATATCGTTGATAATGTTTCGTGGGCTACCAATAAATGATAAAGGTAATATTTTTCTACAACCAACATTACCTAAAAAATATTTTGATGTAATAGAAATGTTATATAAATATAAAAAATATGTACGCGTGTAGTTATACTAACATAAGTGATAAATTTTACCTCTATAATTTTCGCTAACATGTACTGCATCTAGTACACCTTTATAAAAATCTGCTCGAATGTCATTTTGATGAGTATGTATCCATCTTAATTTGTGAGACTCAATCCTCACGTAATTATCTATGACAAATTGCTGTAAAAGGCGACTTTTTCGAAGAAAAAGATATTGATCACAAGGGCGAATCTGAGTTGGTAATATTTGAATAATTATAAACAATTGAAGGTAAGGCATTTGTATGAAATAATTATCGATTACTAATTTTTATTTTATTTTTATGTATTATGTTTGTGTCATCACCTATAGCATATAAGCATAGAAATCGCAACATGCTACTTTTCTGTCATTATTACTTTGAGTATTTACATCCCATCCATATGAGCCATAGGATAACAACAAAGGACATTGTAATGGGTCATAGTATCTAGCAATGTTTAGAATATTTAGGAGGTGACCACTGGTTGATTGAACAATGATATCTCTTGGTCTTAAATTTTCAGTTTTTTCTCCACCTACTAAAACTGCAGCAACTTCAAGAGCAGTCAGAAGGTTATATTGGGGCTTATCATATACCGATTTTGGTTTAGACCCGACTTGTTTCTTGTTTTGGATCTAGTATTCATTGTGTTAAATGGTTGTTCATACCTTTATTCATCATATTCTTGATCGCGTTTGGTTATTTGGATGCCATTGTTGCGTTTGGAACAGGTTGGAAGTCCATTTTTCAAAGGAGACTTTGCCCAGATTTTGGTCAGTTCGCTCGAGCGGTCTTTAAGAACTTCCAGTATATTTGCAGGTCTGCAAAAGTACTAGGAGGGTAGTTGCAATATCCCTGACTCGTAATTAGCTACTAATCAGTGATTAAAGATGCTAATTGAGTGGATCAAATGAATTGTGGAATTAATATGTAAATTGCATGATATTTGGCCTCCTATCTGTTACTTATAAAAATATATGTTTGGAATTCCACTTTAATATGTAAATTAAAAGCCTTATCGGCACCCGAAACCGAAATTGACTACACCGATATGTTATTTGGAATTTTTAGAACCATATGGCAAATTTTATTAAAAATTGATTCAGTCTGATTAATTAAGTCATGTTTGGTTAGCCTAATTTTCTAATTAATGTGTTTTAGCACCATAATCATATATTTGAGATATAAGCTCATTTGAGCTCATTTCTTTCATCTTCCTTGAGTGGAAAAATCTGGTGAAACATTTTAGAGAGAGAGGGAGCATAATTCTAGAGAGAGAAAGGAAGAGATTGAAGAAGAATTGAAGGCTATAGTTTGAATTGGTCAAAGATTGTGCTAGAACAAGAGTAATTCAAGACTCTAGGTAAGGACTTAAGACTTAATTATGACTTTTAACCATCAAGTAGATCATTTCAAGAAGAATTTGTGATTGTGTACAAGAATTGGACCAAAGATGTTGAATTTAGAGTTAATTCATGCATGCATGTACATTTTCTCACAAATTGAGCATGAACTCCAAGAATTCTCTCATGCATGTTTGAAATTCATCTTCATTTGGGGAAATCATCAAGTTTCAAGTTGTTTTGTGGTGTTTGATCATGTTTTGAGAAGTTTGATACAAGAAAAACCCATACATGTTGTGTTCATGAACATTCATCATGTTTTAAGTTGAATTTGGGAACTTTTGGCAAACCCTTGGGCCATGATTTTATGAAATGATCCTGAATTCTTTATGTTTTCCAAGTTTACTATGTTATCTCAAGTTTTGGAGCTCAAGAGATGTGTTTTGAAGGTTGGAATTCGAGTTTTGAGCTTGAAGGTGCAATCTGGAAATTCCAGATTCTGCATCTACGCTTGAGCGTGGGAGTTCACACTCGAGCGACCAATCTGAATGCGTGCACTCCGCTCGAGCGACCAAAAGTCTGCTCGAGCGTGAATTGCAAGCTCCCAAAAGTTTCATGTCTTTTACAGATCGCTCGAGCGAAGGAATGTGTGCTCGAGCGACCATTCACATTTTGCATGTCCACTCGAGCGAGGAAAGCTACGCTCGAGCGTGAACCTTATTTTCAAAAATTTTGCCTAAGTATTCCAAGGCATGTTTTGGCATCCTTATTGCATCTTAGGCATTCCTAAGCCTTAATTAAGCTTTGATAATGAGGTTATGGATTAGAAACACACTAAGGTACTAAGTTTCGAGACTACAAGTGTGTGTGTGTTAGGCGTTGTGATAAGAAAGAATAAGAACCAATGTAATAAAAGCTAAGCCTTAATGGCCTCTTGAATGTGTAATGATAAGGTATGCTTGTGTTATGTATTTTGTGACTGTAGGTCAAGACTCGAGGGTTGATTGACCATTTGTAATGATTAGATGTGCTTGTGTTATGTATTTTGTGATTGTAGGTCAAGACTCGAGGATTGATTGACCATTGCTGGAACCACTGTGAGTAACGTTATTGTAAAGATACGTTCATATGAATTACGTTCCAAATGAAATATGATAAGTTCTGATTTCTGAAATGATATCTATTTTCGTGAATGAATGTTCCATGTTTGAAATCTATTATGGCATCCATTAGATAGTCCCAAGTCATAGGGGACGACATGAAAATGCGAGTCCATGACATACAAGTAATTACGAGATCTCGTTAACCACTTCATTGTGGTGATATGTGTTTAATCAGTATCCGGAACCGATTACTCTAGTTGAAAGACGTTCTGTGATGTGTTCTATGGGATGTACCATTATTATGTTCTGATATGAGAATGATTATGCTCTAGTCTGTTTTCTGCTTATGATATATTCAGATTTCGTTTACTAACCCCTTTACCATAATGTTATTCATTGGGCTATAGCTCATTGTGTGTATATATATATGTATAGGTGAGCATTCTGGAGCCCGAGCCTGAAGGCTTTTGTATGGATCTGTGTTCTGTTGTCAGCCAATCATTGTGCCTCACATGGAGGTTCCCGAAGCGTCTTGTGTTTAAGCTCTGTGGTTTCCATTTATTTAAGACTCGATTGATGTCGTTGGCTGTACTTAAAATACTGTAATGTGTGTGGGTATAATGTATGGTTGACTACTGGTTATTGTATATAAAGTTTTTAAATATTCCGTTTCATATAAGTCAGCACAGCTCATTGGACAACTAAGCATTGCATATGCATTCACCTTATAGCTTTGTTAAGATTCATACACCATGTTAGAGTATCTCTGTTGGGCTTTGGCTCACCTTATGTGGAAAACCATTTTCAGGTACTGATGATATGCCTTCACCAAGGTCATAACTTGGGAGGACTAGGAGCTAAGAGTTTCTTTTGTCATTATTGTAATTATTTTTGTACAAGCCTAGGGCTTAAATTGTACTAAGTTAAAACTCAATTTTGTTGTAACCAAGCATCATCTTGGAAAATTATAGCCATTACGACATTTATTTATCTGTTTAACTTTTATTTTATATCTTTAACTTGTGGCACATGCTACAAATTCAGAATTAGAACTTATGAATGTATAACTGCATGTGTTACCTCTTGTACTGTCATGATCCAAACCTGTCCCTATAGATTAAGGTCATAACCGGCCAGTAATCATGAGACTACCTATGACCTCAAATAAGATCAAACGTATCTTAATAGTAATAAAGGGGCCAAAGCAGAAGCAGACTTAAAAATTTTGTCTAATAAGTTGTGCTTACATGTCATATCAAATCATTTCCCATATACTTAATAATAACTTACACCACATTCCAATAGTTAACATCTTGTTCATCTAGGATCATTCGAACATATAGTCAATCATATAGAAAGCTTATATACATAGGTGATCCAGTAGAACCACCGAGGTAGCAAAAGAGTAAAACAAAAGAACAAAAACAAAGTCTCGTGCGTGAGACATTCTGGCTGACTCCATAGAACTTGTATTTCTTTGACATTCTTCATTAAGGCTGGGGTTGGACATTTCTTTGTTTACCTGCATTCATATAAATAAGAGTGAGCGAAAGCCCAGTGAATAATACCAAAGTAAAGGAGGTCATATGAATGAGATTCATATTAAGTACATCAAACTCGTAAATTTCATATACAAACGGCCTTAAGCGGCCTTAAACCCATTCTGTGTTTTTGTTGTACACGTCAAACGGCCTCGGGGCCATTGTATAACTTTGTCAGATTCATCAAACGGCCTCGGGCCTAATTCAAACACTTCAAACGTATCAAACGGCGTCAGATCCATTATTTCCATATTCATATTTATACGCATTTCATATTCATGATCATGATCACCTTTACATTTAAACGGGCTTTAGCCCATTACATTCATGTTCAAACGGCCTCTGGCTCATTGCATTTGTAATCAGACGACCATTGGCCTATCACATTCATAGTCAATGATTTCAAACACATCGTATGTACCAGACTGCCTTAGGCCCAATTCATACTCTTGTCGAACGTATCAAACGACCTCTGGCCAAATTCATATATATATATATATATATATCAAACGGCCTTAGGCTTAAATCATGTTCTTCACAGAGCCTTATACAAAAATTAGACATATAGAATACTCATTCGTAATTCAAACCAACAAATCCATGAAGCTTATGCAGAAGTAGCATTTGGAAAATAACATACTTGAAAATATCTTTACTTAGATATTACTCACAGTGTTTTGTCGATGGATTTGCCCTTGCGCTTGACCCTACACATTTTATAACACATTGGATCACAAGCAATTCAATCCGTTCTTAACTTGTTTATTTCTCTTAGGCCTCTTTCTTTTTCCTTTAGTTCATTTACAATGCTCAATGCATGCCTAAGAGTGCTTAGAAATGAAAGAGAACGGAAAACGGAACATAAAATAGCTTTTCAAAATTTCTAAAACAGGGCACTTCGCTCAAGTGCAGCTTTTGTCGCTCGAGCGGTCTGTAAAACTCTGTAAAAGTACTGGTTGCATGATTTTTACTCTTGAGCGAGATTTCTGTCGTTCGAGCGATGAGTCTTGCAAAATAGGGTTCGCTCAAGCTCAAGGTTTGCCGCTTGAGCTACTGTGCAATTCTCTATAAAACTTCTAAGAGCTTGATTTTTATGCTCGAGCGAGACTTTCTTCGCTTGAGCGGACAGGTCGAATTCTAGAAATTTCTGCTTACTATTTGAGCTTCAAAACACACATCCAAGGCTATATTCATGCATGACTTACCCAAAAACTTGAAAACATGTACTTGAACACTAATACTTGATGGATTACATTTCTTATATGCAAAACTACATGAATTTGGCAAATCATTATTCTAAACTTCCATGCATGTATGAATCTAAACTTGAACTCTTTTCTATCATCATCAAAATTATGGATTTGAGCTTTACAACTTCAAAAGTCATGCAACCAAGTTCCACAATCCTATAATTCAGGGATGTATGTCTAAAACAACTACCAATTCTTCATGTTAAACATGCTTCATGCTAGATTATGCAAATTCATGGCAATTCTTTACATGCATGGATATATTGACTTCAATTCATCATAAACAACTTAAATCTTGTTCTTGATTACCAATTCTCTTTGAATTCATATAATTACAAAATCAAACTCATGAATTAAGGGTTGGTTACTCACCTAGAAGCTCTAATCCTTCCAAATATGGCTAATTCTTGAACCTAGCCTTCCAAATCTTCAAGGTTTGAGACAATTCTACAAGTTTTCCTCTTCCTCTCTCTCTAGAACCGCCCATCTCTCTCTCTTTAGAGTGTAATCTTTTCCAAGTTATGAGAAATGAGCTTAAAGGAAATGAGCTTAAGTGTATAGAAATCATATATGTATATGCTTGCTTAATCAAACTTGATTAAGGTTAATTATGCTTAATTTAATCAACTTAATCTAATTATTTTGATACGAATCAATTTTTTATCAAATTTTACCATAGGCTCTAAAAATCACGATAATCACAATGGTACAGTCAATTTCAATTTCTGCCGCCTCTAAAGCCTTTAATTTTCAAATTATAGCAGTAAGTTGGACAGTTTCCTATGGTGAATAGATGTAACTTCAAAATCTCATATACTTATGCAATTAGCACTCAAAATTAAATTAAGCACATAATCACAAACATAATTATGATTAATTAACATGATGCAGAACGGGGTTCTTACATGTACAATGGAATCATATGAATAGAAGATAATTATTTCGGTACATGTTATTATTTAATTAATATCGCAGGATGAATTATGGTTATTATTTTTGGAGCGTTATAACTTGGTATCAGAACTACCGGGTTTGAATACTATGGGATCGTGGGATGTGATCTTTACCACAATGGGTTATCTCGCTAGTTTGTGTTAGAAGTAAGCTTGGTATGTTATGTGATAACATGCTTATGTGACTAAGTGGGTATGAGATTTAATTTCTAATATATTGATTGGGTCTACGAGTTTCTAGAAGCCCTGTTAGAAGAGCACTTGATTACTGCTATTTCTAACTAGAACTCTGGCAATGTCGCGGAAAGATTATTATCTAAAAAGGAAATTCGTATGTGTTTATGTGACTACGTGTTTATGTGGAGTGAATTAATTGTTGTCCACCGTATTAGGACGCGAGTGAGTTAATTTCGGCACATTTGTAAATGTGCTAATCTCTTGTATTACCTTCATTAGGATGTCAGGACGTGAACGTGGTGGTGGTAGGCGTGGCAGGCCTAGACAGCATGAGGTGCTATTACCGGATGATATTCCGGCATAGGAGGAAGGGGTTGGTCAGGCCAATGTGGCCGAATCAGTTGGTCAGCAGGCCATGGGTGCTTTAGTCCGTGAAATGGCCGGAGCCTTACGGTCAAAGCAGATGAGATGTGCTACCAATTTTTCTTACATAATTACAAAAGTTATACAAAAATTAAAACATTAAAAATAAACAATCACTAAGATATATTTTGATACTAAAAAAATAAATAATAAATAAATATCATTTTTTTAACTAAACTGTTACAGAATTTATACTAAAAAAAGTGAAAATAAACAAACACTGATAGAACACTTACAGTAAAAGAAGGGTGGTGTTGTTAGACAGTCCCTGGAGAAGTTATTAGTTTTGAACAGTACAAAATTGTAAAGCAACTTGCAAATTAAAAAATTTAAAAAAAAAAACAAATTAGTTAACCATAAAGAAAACAATTACATAATCACGATACTATTTATATTTTTATTTTTGTACTATATGCAATAAGATTTTTACATAGTAGGGTTGCATCATTGGTGCATTTTAATTTTTTTATATAGCGGGGTAACACAACGTAATGTTTTTTTTTTTTTTTTTTTTAATGTTATGATAAGTTTGGTTGGTAAAAATGAAAGAAAAATAATGTGAATCCCACACAAAGAAAGAAGTTAGTAACTGCAAAATTCTCACATGATGATGAGGGCATTAATTATCACTTAGATTGAACTTTTATATGATGGAAAAACATAAAAAATATGAGCCTAAAATTCATATCATAATGTATACATGTTTTTTGTATTTGTAATTTAGATTGAACTTTTATATGGTGGTTTTTATGAATAAATATTCATAAAAATTTGAGCCTAAAATCCACATTATAATGTATATATGTTTTTTCATTTTTATTTTTTTTTATTTTTTTTATTTTTAATTTAGATTGAACTTTTATTTGGTGGGAAAAATGAAAAAGTTTTTCATAAAAATATGAGCAATAATATGAGCTGATGAGATGTGCCACCATTTTTAAAAAAAATTTTCTTAAACAATTACAAAACTTATACAAAAATTAAAAATTAAAAATAAACAATCACTGAGATGTATTTTGATACTAAAAAATTAAATAATAAATAAATACCATGTTTTTGACTAAACAATTACGAAATTTATACTAAAAAAAATAAACTGTAACACCCGCATCTTTTAATCCATTGGAGAGTGTATTTAATTCCCTTATTTTCATTTTTGGGAGTCTTTGGAGTTGTTGAATGTTGGTTTTGAAGGAGTATGATCCGATTTAAACTCGTTGGGTTTGTTTGTTTGCGCTTGTTCTAGTCAAAAAGTTCCTTGGGAACTTAGAACTTCTATTATGGGGTTGACACCAGCCTTTCTAAGGGTCGACCCTTACCTGCTGGTGAAGTTTCTGGAAGTGTTGCTGGAAAATATGGTCGACCCCCTCCTGTCTAAGGGTTGACCATCTTATATTGCAGAATCTGTGTGTTAATTGCTGGAAAATAGGGTCGACCCCCTCCTGTCTAAGGGTTGACCCCCCTTGCTTGTGCCAGATTGTCTTTTATACCTGAAGGGTCGACCCCTACGTGTTTTTTTTTTTTTTTTTATTTTTTAGGTTCGAATGGTTTTTTTTTTTTTTAAGATTTTGGGGTTCGAATGGGCCCTATCTTTGGGGGGTTTTGGGCCTATTATTTTATTGACCTTATGGTTACTTTTCTACTACTATAAATAGGCACCAAACATATTTCATTTGACTTTTTCTCCTCTTTCCTCTCTTAAACCGTGAGTTCTCTTCTCTCTCTCTAAAACTCAAGTTTTTGGCACTTAGACCTCTAGATCTACTCACCTAGAATGATCTTTTCACCATGGTCCTTTGAGAAAAAGTGTAGATCTCGTTAAGGGCTTCCTTTTGGTCAGATTGGTTCGTGGTTTCGTCGCCATTGATTTTTTGGGTCGTCATCTCTTGGCGTCAAGAGGTAGGGGTTTCTAGTTTTCTTTCAATACTCTCGTTTATGGATAGATTTGTGGTATTTTCTTTATATAAATACAAAAGTTTATATTTTATGCATATTGTAATGAATCATGAGATTGGGGGTTAGAGTTTGAAAGGAGTTGGATTTACTTGTTGGGTTATGATCTTGGGTCATGAGTTTGGGTGTAAAAGTAATAGAAGGGTTGGAATAAAATGTGTTTTTGTGAAAAGCTTGAACTTCTCTTAAAAAAAAACCCTAGTTTGGCTCAGGAAGATGGTTAATGGTTTTGCTTCAATTAATAGTAGAATCATGAAATTGAGGTGTTAAATTATACATGTAATTGAAATTTTAATGAATTTGAGAAATTTATGTAAAAGTTGCGATTGAACTCATAATGTTGATATTTTAAATTGTGTTATAATATGAAACCAAACTTGGGGGAAAAGAAATTACTAATGGTATGGATGATATGAGTTTTGTGTTGAAATGGTTGTATTGAATCTTGTTATGTGTTATGTGAATTGTATTGGGTTATGTTGTGTTGAGTTGGTTGAGTTGTGTTGGGTTATGTTGTGGTTGGTAGCCCGCGCAGGGAGTTGAAAAATGATTTTTCGATGCCCACAACCATCCGTATAATAGCCAGTAAATGTGGAGGATCGTTTTAAAAATTGAAAAATGGTTTTTCGATGCCCACAACCGTCCATATAATAGTTGGTAAATGTGGGTGATGGTTTTAAAAATTGAAAAATTGTTTTTTCAGTGCCCACGACCGTCCGTATTATAGTCGGTAAATGTGGGGGTGGTTTGAATTCAACGTTCCAAATTACCCTGTCTAGGTTTATTGCTGGACGAATGTGGGAAAAGTATTTTTGGGTGTCCACACAGTCCTGCCGTATTGTAGTCGGTGAAAGTGGAAAAATGAATTTTGGTGTCCACACAGTCTTGCCGTATTGTAGCCAGCAAAAGTGAAAAAATGGATGGTTTTCGAAAATGTTTTGGGTGCCCACG